GCAACTATAACAGTATGGACGAACTTTTCTGCTCCAATTCCTAATTGTACCTGGATTTCTCCATGAATGTTGGCATTTTCCCCTGTGGCGGTCCGAAGTCGCAACCTCGTTGGTAACAGTTTCTTTCGGCTGTTTATAACTGTCGGGCGTATAATGGTTCTGGTCGCTCCAGTATCCACCAACAACGTATGCTTTTTACCATTTATTTCTCCATCTACATATACACTATCTTCACGACATTTCAAAGAAGCTATTAGTATCAGAGGGTCTTTGGTAAAGTTCTGGGTCGAAGCTGCTCCCCTAAGGCCGACGCGTTCTGGTTTTGTCTTCGGTCTTATGGTCTTCGTTTTCTTGTGTGTCATGCTTTTTATCATATTAAAGAGCTGGTCAAGTTTATCTTCATCTCCTTCCTCTTTTACAGTCCTAACTTTGCTATACCCGCCAGAGGCCTGCGTAGCTGACTCGTATTCGAGGGCGGCAGATAAGACATCCATCAGCGTCTTGTGACGAGCTAATCGTAGTGTTATTTGCATCTCATGATCACGAAGACCATCAATAAACGTTTGAACGGCCAACTTTTCCACCATGTCTTCGGGAGCTGTTGGATAAGCATATCGCACTAATCTGGCGATATCTACTTCATATTCTTGAAGAGCCTCATCTTTCTTTTGTCTTCGATTTTTGAGCTGCGACTGATATACATGCTCCAAGTGTTCGTGGCCATATCGCATATTTAACCTCTTCTTCAGTTGTTCGAAATTATCCGTCTCCTCTACGGCTATGGTCTGGAGCACATCTAAGGCATCTCCTCGAAGAGCGATAGTCAGGTTTACAGCCTTTTCTTTTTCAGACCATCCATTCGCTCTTGCAGCTGATTCGAACTGTTTCATGTAGTTGTTCCATGATGATTTTCCGTCGAAAGTTGGGACTTTGACTTGAACATAACCTCCGCTTCCTTCAAATTTCGGCCGTGTTTCCAACTTACATTTCGTCTCGTCTTCTTTTATCTCTACCGGATCTAAAACTACCGTATTAATTGGTGGTAGCCCTCTCGTCTTAGTTATCATGGTCTCTAACTGTTTGATTTTCTCTTCAACTTTATCAAATGTTTTAGAGACTTCTTCAAACTTCTCACTATTCTGAATACATACTTCGTCGAATCTTCTAGACATATTTTCAATTTTCTCGTCATTTTGTCTAGCTATTTCTTTAATAATTTGAGACGTTTCATCGAATCTTTCATCAGTTTTTTTAGAAGTTTGTTCGATCATTTGCGAGACATTTTCAAATTTCTCATTTATTTTTGTTAAAACTGTTTCTTCTGATGATTGAAACTGGAATGTCTCTGGGTCATCTCCATTCTTGTTAAGAATATTCTTCAGTCGCTCCTGGAGGATCTTCTTGGACCCGCTGCAGTCTTCATCGCGTTCTTCTAGTTGCTCACGCAACTGTTTCACTGAAAGTTCTACTAGCAGCATCTTTGGTCAGGCACACACGTACTTTTTAAATGTTCTTTCGTACAACGATCACTACTGAACTACGCGGATGTTCCCGACGAACAATACCCTTCAAAAGTTCAAAAGTATTTTTCAAAAATCAAATTAAATTTATCTACGATCCCACTTCTGCACCACTGTGAAGTTTGTATAGTTCTAATTTATTTGTCTTTATTCTAATTTATTGTCTATAATCTAATTTATTAAAACTCACGATAACTAATTAATTTTTTAAAGTCTTTATTAATTCTAATTTATATTACAAATAATAATTTATGTTTCGTTACATTTAAATATCGCGGTTGCCGAGCTTCTTATGACTAACTGCCAAATAAAAATCTTTCATTTATATACACAACTGTTGTCATCCAGAGAATTCGGCGGACTTCCTGAATAGTCTCGTATTTTGGTGAAGGCGCTCGACTCGTTTTTCAACCTCGAGACGTGGATGACTCACTAAAATTAGTGTCTAGAGATTTCTGGTAAACAACTGGTAGCTAAGCTCAGGTATATTTTGACCTACAAATTACGAGAATCAATAAAAAAGAATTAGTCATAAAATATTTACAGTTCTATATGCCATAACATTTAAAATCGTAACAATAACAAAGCCATTGTAACTGCCACGGAAATTTCACAAACTCTAAAAATTCCAATTCTCTTTGGGTGAGACTGAGAAACAAGCAACTTTATATTGATATCGATTGTTAATGTCTTGGAAACCTATTAAAATTACATTTTTCCTTTAAAGTCGAATATTGGAGTAAACGATATTCGACTAAAACGAATAAAAAATCAAGAAGTAACTATTGTACGAGTATATTTCTATAAATATAAAAATGTAATAACCTAAAAAATAATCAAAAAAGTATTACAAATCATTACAAGAGAGCATTAGGAAGATAAAACGAATTTATATTGTTGTCAATACACATGATTCGGATATACATAGTAAATCCAGACTTTCAGTTTAAACTAATATTTCGATACAATTTATTTTGTTTACAATAGATTCAGAGTTAATACATACGATTTTTAGTTAATTGGTATTGCCTTTAAAATTATTTGTAGTATCTAGTTTGCCTAAGCCGGATTTGTAACAATTATTTCTGGTTTTGTTGTTAACTGCGGTTAGTACAATTCTTATACTTGAAGTCAAAACGACGAACCATTGAACCTTCAGGCCAGATACTGGGATTGAGAACTTCATTTTTATAATCCAATGGATATGAAACTTTAAAGCTTGCTTGGTACTCCGTAACCTTTAACTTCTTGAAGTAGAAATGTATATTTGGAGCATTTACCTTTAAATTATTGGTCAAATCTTCCGTTGTCTGTTGTGGAATTATATTATGGTGTAAATAAATAATGACTGATTGGAATAAGATTTATGTCTGTTTACTCTTAATATTGGCTATGGGCATATGTGCTTGGTTGTAAATATAGTAATTGTCATCCAGTTCTAGTCTGTTAAAATGTAACTAACTTTCGCAATAAAATAATTACTAAAATACTAGATAGTTGTGTCTGAGATTAGCGAATCGACTATACATACACTACATACATTCAGTATCATTGTATATCCAAGATGGACGCCGCTACACAATAGCGGATTACTTATTTTTTCACAACTACTTCAATATGGGTATCAAATGAAAGGGTTTGACTAGTAGAAAAGAGTTCATTACAGAAAATCCAAAATGGCCGCTAACAAAATGGTGGATTACATATTTTCGTTGGGCGTACTGTTGTACGCCAATGATTTTTTTTTAATTTTTATTGACTTCCGAAAGGCATTTGATCGTATTAAGTACTCTATATTGATCGAAGTTCTAAGAAACATTGGTTTGGATGGCAGAGACGTTCGCATAATTGCAAAGTTGTATTGGAATGAAACATAAGTTTTATTTCACTTCACTTAACGAGAGCTCGGGCGGACACGTCGGTGTCGGCTTACTCAAAGTCAAATTAATACTATTATGTAATAACTAATAATAATTACAAAGCAATAGTAATTACCTGTTATTATTCTTAGGAAATCTAAATAAACTTATTCCTTTTCCTGTCACAGATGAACATCCGCGAAACGCACAACAATAACCAGAAGACATTTTAAATACTTATAAATTAAACTTTTAACTATAAACTATAACTATAAACTTATATATTTAACTTATATATTTTAACTATAACTATAAACTATAACTATAAACTTTTAACTACTAAGTAAATTAGATAAATGGTCAAATGCACTTGTATAGTCGAGAGTTTACCACAGATGCCTACGGACTATCGTAAGCGACTAAAGTTGAAGAAAACGCACGTGTTTTTGACAGTAAAGCACCTTATTTGGGTCATGCGTATACAGAAAAGATACACGAATTTCGGGCCTCGTGTCGCTTCTCTGTATGAAACTAAGAGTTTTGTAAACAATATTGCATTATGGCCAGAATACTTAACAGACACACCATGCGGGAGCATTAAAAAAAATCCAGACAAATCTATCGAAATTAATTAAATTTAAACATTTAATAACAGGCCACAAACTTTCATAACAGTCGAAAATATTGCCGGCAAAATTTTCTCTCTTATGATCTATACCACGGGTCACCAAATGGCGGACCGCGGTCTGCATCCGGACCGTGAGCTTGTTTTTTGCGGACCGCCGTTAAATTCAAAATATAGTAATAAAATTATAGTGTAAAATTATAATCAAATATAAGAAGGAAATGTTCTGAGGCTTCTTTACGCATTTCCTGGACGCTTGCTAAAACTATGAAGCCATTTAGTGACGCGGTTATCGTTAAAGAGTGTTTTCTGGAAGCAGGAAATTCATTATTTGAAAATAAAAAAGATATTGTCGATACTATTCAGCTTATTCCAATATTTACTACTTCAAGCACAAGGAATACACAGACTGGCAGATGAAACATAGAAAACGTTAAAACAAATCTTGGCTGTCACTAAATATTTTGCTTTGGTATTGGATGAGTCATGCGATATTACAGATACCGCTTGTCATTTTCGTGCGTTGCCTGGACAGAACCAGTAAAGAGTTTGCTGAAGAACTTTTGACTATTTTGCCTTTATCAGAAATTACTACAGGAGAGGATTTACACAAGACTCACAAGGCTGTGGTGGACTATTTTGGCAAGGATAGTGTGGATTTAAAAAAAAAATATTTCGATCTTCTCTTCGAGCCTCGAGGCTATCTTCCTAAACGAAGTTGCCTGGTTTCAACTACGTAACAAGTATGATCTCCTGAGGGAGGGTTACAACTATTGGGATTTCTGGGTAACTCCCCCTTCCGTTGCGCCACTGCCTGGTTTAGTACTAAGTGTTCGGACCGCGGAAGTGTAGTAGGATTTCGAAACGGACCCTCAAGGAATATAATTGGTGACCCCTGATCTATACAATAAAAAACGGAACTTTCTATAACTAGGCTAAGAATTCTTGACGTCATCCGCTTATATATAGTTAGTAATTCTTCTTTGTCGATTTCAGGTTGAACCAGAAGGAACCACTGAATTACCAGCAGCCAATAGATCGTTGTTTCTTGAAAAGGTAAGCATTTGTAACACTTTTTCTTTTTCATTGTTGTCTTCTTTTGCTAGTATCTGTAATATTCAAAAGTATGTCTAATTCATATTTATACTTATTATCTTCAAGTTATGCTAGATCTGATACAATTACCTAAATATGTAAATTAAATTTTGACGTATATTTGTGTTAGGTTCGCCAGTCAAACGCTGCGTGCCAGAACGGAGATTTTGCAACAGCTGTTGCCCTCTACACCGACGCTCTCCAGCTAGACCCTACCAACCACATTCTATATTCCAATAGATCAGCAGCAAAATTAAAACAAGGCCTATTTGCCCAAGCTCTGCAAGATGCTATCACTGCCAGAGATTTATGTCCAACGTGGCCAAAAGCATATTATAGGTAGTACTCTTTTTTTTTTTGTATCGATGAAATATGTACTAATAATTATTCAAATTATAGGCAAGGAGTCGCTTTACAATGTCTTGGTAGGCATGGCGATGCTTTGGCAGCTTTTAGCCAAGGATTGGCGCAGGATCCTACGTCCCAACAACTTCTTTCCGGTTTAGTAGAGGCTTCTATTAAATCTCCACTTAGGCACAATCTGGAGCCCACCTTGGAGCAGCTGGAGGTGATGAAACTAGATCAAAGTCCATTTGTACTCATTTCGGTGGTAGGACAAGTAAGTGTACTTTAAATTTGGTATTACGACATCTCAAATAATAATCTGGAGATACCAATAACAGGCAGCAAAGAATAATAAGATTTTCTAAGAAGAAATTATATTTTTGTTGTATTTGTTTGCATTGGATAAAGTTAGTTGCAATGATATTAAGAAGTTATCAACATAGTACTTGTAGCAAAACAAATACTGTGTGGGTCCAAAACAGATCAAAAAAGAAATCAAGAATAGAGAGAATAAATAGAGAAGAGAGTAATTAAGGACGCGAAAAAGTATTAAGTTTTTTTTTTGGCATAGGCATTTGCCATTCAGAACTTTTTTAAGTTCTTTCCAAAGGGAAGAAAAGATAATAATTATCACAATATATTTATTATTGGTTATTTTGTTATCCATGGAACAAACATGGTTAGTCGCTTCTCGTCTAGAGACCCATCAAAACATTAAATTAAAACACAAACTAGACCGAGTCACGGATAATACGTTTAAATTAAATGGGATAAAACAAAGGTTACTATTTTTTAACTGGACTAACAAATTGAGGCTAAAGAAATATTAAGTTGCACACAAAGATATCATATGATTAACGTTCAGAAAGATATGAACAGCAGAAATTATCCTCAGAAATTTAATTATGAAGTGGCGGGAGGGAAAGGTGAAAATAAAACTGGGAAGAGTCATAGGTCCATTTAAAAAGATGGAGAGAAAATTTACACTTAAAATGCTTCTGACAGATATTCGTAGGAAGGCAACTGAAAACATGTTTCAGTAGTCAAAGGGCTTTAATATTTTATTTTGCTATTTTAGGAACTCTTGGCAGCTGGTTTATACCATTCGGCAGTAACTGTTTTGGAGTCAGCTCTAAGAATCGGATCATGCTCACTAAAACTACGTGGTTCTGTATTCAGCGCATTAAGCTCAGCACATTGGGCTTTGAATCAACTGGATCAGGCAATAGGGTATGTTTAATTTTGTTCTGTGAGTTTTTCAATAAAAATGCAAACTATTGACCACAAGAAGGCATTTGACATGGTCTAGTTTCGATAGTATTTGATTTATTGATTTCTTTTATTTGATATTATACGTTTTATGCCTTTTTATCTATTTATGCACATTAAAATTAAAATGTTTGAATTAGTTTAAGCTTTGAATTTTTTTAGGTATATGCAGCAAGATCTTGCAATAGCAAAAAGCTTAGGTGATACTTCTGGTGAGTGTAGGGCTCACGGAAACTTAGGTTCAGCGTATTTCAGTCAGGGATCCTATAAGGAAGCTTTGACAGCTCATAGATATCAGCTGGTACTAGCCATGAAATGCAAAGTAAGTACTTTTTCATTTACTAATAATTGTTACAATACTGCATTATAATTTAAAGACTAATGGACTTACATTAAACCGACTTAAAGCCTATTTAACATAAAAACTGTCTATCTAGGATACACAAGCTGCGGCTGCTGCTTTAACATCTTTAGGTCACGTTTATACTGCTATTGGAGATTATCCTAATGCCTTAGCGTCCCACAAACAGTGTGTCCAGTTAGTAAAACAGATGGGTGATAAGTTGCAAGAAGCTAGAGAGATAGGAAATGTTGGGGCCGTGTATTTAGCAATGGGTGATTTTGATTCTGCTGTAGATTGTCACACGCAGCATTTGAGGATTGCCAGGAGGTTAGGAAATCAGGTAAAGTATAATATTGTCGTGTTTTACGATCTTGTATCTAAATATCAACTTTTTTTTTCTGTTTATTGATAGGTTGAAGAAGCGCGAGCTTATAGCAATTTAGGTTCGAGTCACCATTACAAAAGGAATTTTACTCAGGCCATAGTATATCACGAAAAAGTTTTATACCTTGCTCAAGCTATAGGAGATAAGTAAGTATGACTTGGTCTTTAATACTTTGTATTTTATATAATTTATATTTTTTAGATCTGTAGAGGCAAGAGCTTATGCGGGCTTGGGACATGCTGCAAGATGTGCTGGCGACTATGTCCAAGCAAAACAATGGCATGAAAGACAGCTGGACGTGGCATTAGCTACTAGAGACAAAATCGGCGAAGGAAGAGCATGCTCAAATTTAGGAATAGTATACCAGTTACTAGGTAAATAAAATGAAATAATAACTGTCACTCTTATAAACTTAATTTAACTTTTAGGGGAATATGATGCTGCCTTGAAGTTACACCAAGCTCATCTGGCCATGGCGAGAAATCTTCAAGATCGAGCTGGTATGGGTCGGGCATATGGCAATATCGGAAACGCTTATTCAGCTGCTGGCTTTTATGAGTCTGCTATTAAGTATCACAAACAAGAACTGACTATAAGTAAAGAAGTACATGATAGAAGCTCGGAAGCTAGTACGCATGGAAATTTAGCTGTTGCCTATCAAGCTTTAGGCGCTCATGACATGGCACTACTCCATTATAGAGCACATTTAGGTATGTTCGAATTACTTTTATTTGATTTATGTTTATTTTAGGATAATACCAAAGTCACTTGATGATTTTCACTGTGTTGTGAAATTATGATATATATTTAGGATATAAATACTTAATATTATCTAATGCTATATTGTACAAAGGTATTTTTTATTTTAGGAATTGCAAGAGATTTAAAAGATGCAGCAGGTGAGGCTTGTGCCCTCCTGAATTTAGCGAATTGCTTAAGTTCTAGATCTGAATTTACTGAAGCCATTCCATATTACGAACAGTATTTAATGATATCCCAAGAACTGTCAGATGTTGAAGGAGAAGCCAAAGCATGTCATTTTTTAGGTAACACCTTTGATTTTTTAATCCAATAATACTTATTCACGCTTATTTATTTTTAGGTTATGCCCATTACTGTATAGGCCATTATAAAGAAGCGGTCCGGTATTATGACCAGGATTTAGCCTTAGCCAAAGATTTGCAAGATAAAATGAACATGGGTCGAGCTTATTGTAATCTAGGATTAGCTCATTTAGCTCTTGGGCAACTTGATACATCGTTGGAATGCCAGAAATATTTTCTAGCAATAGCTCACATGACAAATAACTTAGCAGGTATCTACAATATATTTTGAGTTATGATAGAATTTTAGAAGTTGGTTAAAATTATGGGGTTTTATCGTGAAAACTTTTTAGACAATAGTTCATGTGTTGTTTATTTTGTTTTAGGCAAATTTAGAGCCCTAGGCAACATTGGGGATGTGTTAATAAAGCTAGAAGAGCCCGAAGAGGCCATAAAGATGTACCATAGACAGTTAGCTTTAGCAAGAAGTAGTAGAGACATCAGCATGGAAGCAGCAGCTTGTGGAGCTCTGGGAATAGCACATAGATTGATTAAGAAATTTGATAAAGCATTAGGTAAGCGTATTTGACCAACCGACTCAAATATATGAGTAATATATTATTTTTTCTTCGTAGGTTATCACACACAAGAGCTTACACTCAGACAAGAAATATCCGATCTGCCTGGAGAATGTAGGGCTCATGGTCATCTTGGTGCAGTCCATATGGCGTTAGGAAACTATACACACGCTGTAAAATGTTATCAAGAACAGCTTGAAAGAGCACAAGAGTTGCAAGACTGTGCTGTAGAAGCACAAGCCTATGGAAATTTAGGAATTGCTAGGTGAGTGTTTCATATATAGCAACTCATTTCAATATAGCCATTCAATCTCAATTTATCTTTTCTATAAAAAAAAACAGTAAAAGGTCCAGCGTCATCACGCAACTGTTTTGAGACGGTTGAAAGCTAGTTTCATCTGCAATCGGTTTACAACCATTTTACAACCTAAATAAAACATGTGTCAGCGACTGGTTTGGATCATTTGGGCTATAATAGAATGTTAAATATGGCAAAATGGTGGGTATAACAACGATAAATTTAAAAAATTACTTTCAAAATAGTTATTCATAAATATTTATTCAAAAAACAATGCTTTTGTTCACAAATATGTTTCTCGGCTATCATTAGGCATAGTAACAAATGACATGATGTTCAGAATTTTTGTTAAATTTCCAATGTGAAGAAGCTATTCAAAGCTAAGGTCAAACCAAATCGGTTTTAGACCCATTGGAAACCAGTTTCAGTCGGATCGCCTCGTGGTCGAATCCCCGTCCTTCTGCCGAAGTCACAAACAGTTAAAAGCACAATCGGTTGCAGACCGCAGTTTTTAAACAATTGCGCTGCAAGCGATGTACCTAACGTTTTGATCTTCTTCTTCTTCAAGTGCCCTGTCCGTTGTGAACGTTGGCTATTAACATGGCAATTCTGATCTTGTTTGCGGCGCTTCTGAATAGTTCGACCGATGTGAGCCCGAACCACTTCCGCAGATTTTGGAGCCACGAGTGTCTTCTATTGCCTGGCCCTCGCTTACTGTCTCAATATGTGGCCTAGATATTCAAGCTTTCTTTGTTTAATTGTATTCACTATTTTTTTCTCCTTTCCGATTCTTTGGATTACCTCTATGTTGGTGACATGTTCGGTCCAGGATATACGAAGAATACGTCGGTACACCCATATTTCGAATGCTTCTAGTTTTCTCGTGAGCGTCTCCGTCAGCGTCCAGGCCTTTGTATAACGTTTTGATGCTGTACAAAATTAATTTGAAACTAGTTTTAACAGAATAAAACTTTTGTAGCAACAAAATTTGAATAACGTTGTTAAATATTACATTAAGGCTAATTTTTTTTATTCTTAGATTGAATATGGGACATTATGAGGATGCCATCGGTAATTTTGAGCAACAGTTAGCAACTTTGGAGCGGCTTAGTAGTCCTACAGCTCAGCTAGATAAGGGAAGGGCATTTGGAAGTTTGGGAGACTGTTACGATGCGTTAGGTGATCCAGATGAAGCTGTTAAGTGCCATGAACAGTATCTAGCGATTTCACTCAAACTAAAAAGTTCGAGGGATCAAGAAAGAGCATATCGTGGACTAGGTAACACATATTTTAGTTTTGTATGTTTGTATACTTAGAAGATTTTATTTTCAGGGCAATCACAGCGTTCGTTAGGACACTTGCAACAAGCTTTGGTATGTCTGGAAAAGAGATTGGTTGTTTCTCATGAACTAGGAAATTTGGAAGCAAAGGCAGCTGCTTATGGAGAGCTGGGACAGCTTCATGCCACTTTGGGAAATCTAGAACAAGCTGTTTCTTGTCAAGAACAACAAAGGAATATTGCATTAGAACTAGGTAATTTATAATAATCTTAATTATTTTTTAACTTAATAGCTCTCACAAAGACCAAAATCACACTATGGTTCTCACGAAGTCTGTGTTTTTATGTCGCAGTTTATTTAATTCGTCCTATCAGCCTTGATATGAAGGGTTGTCGTTAGGATAGGCAACAGTAGGAATTAAGGATACGTAGCGAATAGTATCCAAAATATTGAACAACTTTCTAGTATCTCGAACTCGATAGAATTTTTCTTTTTAGATGATAAAGTAATGGAGTCTGATGCCATATGTGGATTGGGAATGGTGTGCTACCAAATGGGAGAATACTCTACAGCTTTAAGGTACCATATGAATGAATTAGAGATCACAGAGCAACTAGAGATGCCTAATCTACAATCTAGAGCATGTGGAAACTTGGGTACGTTACTAAAGAAGAGATGTCTTCTTTAGTAAATATTCCTATAACAATATTTCTTTCAGGTGCTGTCTATGAAGCTTTGGGAAAACTGGAAGAGGCAGTAAGATACCAGCAGCAACATCTATCTATAGCGTCGACCACGAACGATCAGCTGGCAAAAACAATAGCGTACAGCTCTCTGGGAAGAGTCCATCAACTTTTAGGAAATAGCACACAAGCTGTTACATACTTAACACAAGGGTTAGCTATAGCTGAGTCTTTGGGTCGTAGAGATGAAGAGGCCAAAATAAGGAACAGGCTAGGTTTAGCACTATGGACCAATGGCGATCTGGAAGGAGCTCAAAAGCAGTTAGAAATAACTACACATCTCTTGGAAAATATCAGAAGAGAAACGAAGAATTCGCAAGACTACAAATTGTCGCTGTTCGACCTACAGTCCTCTAGTTATCAGGTTTTGCAACGAGTGTTAGTATGTGAGTATCTTTCAAGAAAAATAATTACGTAATTAGTAAAACATGAGTGTCTTAACATATTGTAAATATAAAACATATATTTCTCTACAAATATATTTAAGTTGTACTGTAAATAGAAACCACACATTTTTTTTTGTTTTTAGGTTTAAATCGACATGAAGAAGCTTTACTTATGGCAGAGAGAGGTAGAAACAGAGCATTCGTGGACTTGCTCCTAGAGCGGCAAGGACATTCAGATCTAAAAATGAAATCGAGAAATAGCAGACTGGAAGAATTTGGAATGAACAATTTGGACCATATTAAAGATATCGTTAACAGACAAAGAGCATCTGTTTTGTATTATAGTATTGCCGCTGGATTTCTCTATTCATGGTTAATCTTGCCAACAAAGGGTATTTATTAAATATTTTTTACAATTATTACATCACTGTCCATATTTTTCCTGTCATCCGTATTCATAATTTTTAATGATTTTTCATAATTTCTGATAAGTTTTCGTTTTATTTAATCCCTAGAAAGTTAAAGAATGAATCTTCATTTTAGGTATTGTGAAGTTTCACTTCGTTCCCCTAACAGAAACAACAGACAATGCTGTTTGCGAACATATAGACCCAGTACCATCTGGTACAGGTCTTTTGGAGAAACTAGTCAACTCAGTTAGAGATAGTCTTGGATTAGAAGCATCTTCGTGTCCAACCATCGCTGAGGACCACGTAGAGGATACTCTTTCAGAAAGAACTGGTTTTCTGAGAATGGTGAACCGCCAGCATCTTCTGAACACCAGTAATTATTCCCTCAGCTCGTTGTTTTCCCTTGGTAGCGTGGGAGGATCCGTTGCATCTCTTCAAGGTAAGTTAGAGATCAAGGGCGTGCAGTGAAATTTAAAACAAGGGAAGAAATTTATAAAAAAATGTAAAAACTCTCCTATTTATAATGTAATTCAATTCTTCTACCATTTTTCATAAACTCGTCTAGAACTTTAGTTTATTCCTAAATTCACAACCAGTTAGCCACTCGTATTGTTCGTAAGATTTTTCCGAATTAAAATGTCTTATGCAAGTTTTTATTTTGGTAGTGAGAGTTTTCATTTCAGGCTTCGACCTACCTTAATTAAAAAACAGTAATACCTCAGCTTCTTTTATCAATTATTTTATTATTTTTATTAATAATAATAGTAATTTTTCCTATTATTTTACTTCAGATTGTTTTAATATTAAAAATAAAACAAAATATTAAAACCATTGATCGAAGAAAACTGTAATATTATTGTTTTCCCTATTCGTGCCACGTACATATAATATAGTAGGTACCTTTATTAATTATGTTCAATTTTTCACCAAAATTCAACCATTATTTATTCAACGAAATTATTTATTGTTAAATATTCTCAGTTACTCAGCTAGTACGCTATTACTACGGAAACCTAGGGAACAATGCTTACTTCCATACACCGCATTTAGAGATAATTTTTTTTCTTTCAATTGTCAAATTAGTAGTCAACATTTTTGGACAGAATTTCACTATCTGAAGAAAATTATGCGGGCTACTTCTAAATATTTCTGCATATTAAAATATAAAAAGGTAAACAATGTTATTTGTATAGTTGTTCAGATTTAACAAGCAACACTATTTCGTTAGGTCTAAGGAAAGCTTTCGATATCGTCTATTCAAATCTAGAAATCATTTATTTTCTATAAATCTTTGCTGACCAAATCTGATATGACGTGAGTGACTGTCTTGTTTTTTTTTTCTCAATTTTAGAAATCACTTTTCTGCTGATGTTGGCAGGAGCAAATCTTGTAAACTGGAGTAGTTTTCAAATACCAAATATTATTCTTATATTTGCTCATTCTCTTATTTGGTGCGTGTGATCAGAACTGATCCAAACTGGAGCTGAATACTGTGATTCAGAAAATACAAAGCTAGGGCTTTTATATATTCTCTTACCATATTCTTAGCATATTTGGTTGATTTCTCCAACTTGTTCCGGTTAACTTACGAATTATTTAATTTCTTGAGAATATTTCGCTTTGGTTTCCCTGCAATGACCTTTAAATGCAAGAATGCGATGCAATTATACTCTTAAGTATTTTAGTTGTGTTCAGTATTCTTCTTCTTCATCTTCTTCTTCTTCACTGGCTTTACAACTCGGGGTGAGTCTTCGCCGCATCCACTATCGCCCTCCATCCTCTATGATCTTGCGCTTCTATTTCCCATTGTTGTACCCCAATTCTAGATAAATCGGCTTCAACATCATCCTTCCATCTTTTTCTAGATCGGCCTATTGATCTTCTACCATCTGATCTTAAAAAAAAATACTGTCTTTAACACTCTGTCATCCTCTGATCGTGCCACGTGACTTGCCCATCATACTAGGTTTGCCTTGATATGTCTAACTATGTTTTCAGTTCAATACAGTCACCAATTCACCATTGGGACGTCCTCTTGAATCCGCTGTGAATTCATATTTTTGAGGGCCAAATATTATTCTGAGAACCTTTCTTTCAAATACTAGAAGCTTATTGATTTCTTGCTGGTTAAGAGCCCATGTTTCACTGCCATATGTAATAATTGGGCGAATAATCGACTTGTACAGTGATAATTTAGATTTTCTTTTCAGCAGCTTCGATCTTAATAATGTTAAAAGGGAGTATAATGCTCAATTGCTCGCAGCTACCCTTACTGAGACCTATTTTTCTATGTGGTTGTCAGCTGTGATTATCGCCCCCAGGTATTTAAACTTCTTTACTACTTCGAAGTTGTGATCATTAATACTCATGTTCTGCCTAACTCTTGGTCTTGGATTTTTGGTTACTACCATGTATTTCGTCTTTTCTTCATTCGTGTGTGCAGTATTCTTAAAAGAAAAAAATCTAAATTAACACTCAGTGGTGTAACCAGCCCCACATATATGGGATAGTGCTAAAAACATGTTCATCAAAAGAATGAAGAACTGAAGAAAAGTTCATCAAAACGAACAAATTTTGGGCATCTTCTTCACAACTTCTTCTGTTTTGTGTTTTATTTTTCTTTTCATAGCTATATTGAGGTACCCTCTTTTTATTCTACTTATTTTTTCACAACTTCACAATATTTTTAGAACTTAAACGTTTGAATCCACTGCACAAATTAAAATAAACTCAAGTAAACCAAAGTCAAATAATAGATTTGAATTGTTGAGAATCAGGTAGAAAAACAGGTCAAGGAAAAACCCGTTAATGACTCAGGCTAAAAGGGCTGCTAGGTAGAGTTTATTGTCGGGATTTAAAAATATTTTGTAATAAATCTATTACATATGGCGTTCTCATTTCTCGGTATAGTAGTCCAAACCAAATAGAGTAAGAATATTATGGCAGCAGTAAGTATTATTCTTTGTATTGGAATTAAGAGTCTCACAAAAGCGGCCAACAATTTTATTTTATTGCTGTTGTAAAACCTTTCGACGATTGGACCATACGACCTAATAGTGAAATTGTGGAATAATTTTTTAATTTTTTTTAAATTGAATTTTTGTTTCGACATGTTGGGCGCCTATGTATGTCAGGGGCTCCTGTATGTCAGGTATCCCTGTATGTCGGAGGCCTCTGTATATCGGGGATCCCGTATAATTGATACGACGATAGTTACGCCTCTGCTAACACTGTCAAATCAACTATTCGCCTAGTTGTTGCTTATTTCACTGAAACCTGGACCCTTAAATACCGGGAAATACATAAGCTGCTACATTGATGACTCTTTTTGGTAGTGAAAACATAATCATACATATAAAAGCTAACCGGATAAGATGGGCAGGTCATGTGGTAAGTTCAGAGGAAACCAAAGTATTACAAATAGTATTTTTTAAGAGACCAGATAATAGGACCAGATGGAAGAATAATACCAAAGCAGAACATGTAGAATGATGATTTGTCTGGGATAGGGATATAAAGATGGGAAATTGAAGCACAAGCTTGTAGAAGATCAAATTTTTGGGGTAAATCGGTATAGCCTCTACATCAACCTAATCTCGACCATCATATTAGTAAGATTTGATTTTCTCTGTTGAAGACCATACCGCTTATGAACGATTATCAGGCGACATGACTATGTTAGACAAGAACTTACAACGCTATCAAAAATCTTTTAGCGATCGAAGATTGCTAGCAAACCTCCAAAGTTTTTTGTATTTTTTCTCTCTTCAGATTTAGAAACAGGCATACTTAATAAATTGAGAAGAATGATGCGCATACCTTGGGTGGATAGAGTTCGAAACGATGACGTCCTTAAGAGAACCGGAGTGGAAAGAGAACTCTTTGAATTAATTAAAAAACGCAAGATTGGTTACCTTGGGCACATATAGAGAGGAGCAAAATATGAAATACGACAGGTAATCCTACAGGGGAAGATCGAAGGTAGGAGAGGAGCTGGCCGCAAACAATTATCCTGGTTAAGGAATATTAAAGAATGGTCAGGAATACACAATACAGGCGAGCCGTGTCACGCCGCCAAGAACAGAATTCTAGTAATGATATAATCGCCTACGCACTTTGGTGTATGGCATGTTAAGAAGAAGAAGATACTTAATTAAATTTTTTTTCCACATAGTAGCAAAAGCATCTATGCCAAAATGAAGATCTCGAACAAAGTTATTGCATGCATGTATTATTATACATTAACTTTATATGTTTTAGGAAGTACCAGATCCAGTGCAAGTACACAGGGGTCTACTAGGGTAGGTATTCGACAGAACTGGAAGGGACCAAGTTGTTTGCACACGCTTTACACAATGCTTCTTCAACCTTTTGAAGAATTTCTAACAACCAAAGGTAAGAGTATTCAATTTTATTTAAAATCATGCTATATGAGAGTTACTACATAGATTTTGAAAAAGGCAATAACAATCGTGGTTTTAATAATTTTCGAAGTGAATTAACAAAACAACAGTGTGTCTGTCAATTAGCTTCGATATCTGGTATGGAATTACCGTTCTGATCTACTATGTTTCGGTAAATTCTTGAATTCTCAGGACAAATTTCGTGAAGATCGTCAAAAAAAAAACAAATCAGGTGACTTATAAAATTTCCAAATGATTTACTATTATATTGAGACAAGATCCTTTGTTGGCACATTTACTTTTACTTGACTGCTATTATATTGAGACAAGATCATTTGGATACATTTAATATTATATGAAAATGTGTTGTTCAAACTGATTTGTTGGCACATTTACTTTTACTTGCCTGCTTCAAAATTTAAGTAGCAACTGTATTTGAATACCCATAACAACTACAATATCCACAACAATTCTCAGGTTCACCTCCTTCGAAAGATGGCAGCAATCGCAGAGAACTCATCTTAGTATTAGAGGGAGACTTGTATCTTGTACCGTTTCCCCTACTTCGTTCATCTAGTGAAACATCTGAATACCTATGTGAACGATTTTCCTTATTTGTGGTTCCTAACTTAAGCACTCTAAGATCGGGAAGAATGAGGAAACAAGACGAATCGGTAAGCATTTATATATGGAAATATTTTGGAAAAAAATATTAATAATTAGAAAGTGTTTTACTTGTGTTTCTAGATATATTTGATACTTAACGTTGACCATTGCTTTTTTATAGTTATATATAATAACGGATTGATTACGGCTTTCCATCTTTTTCTGTCATATGCAGTTGCCTCTTCTAAGTTTCTTGCCGCTATTGCTTCATCAATATCGTTACGCCAACTTCTCCGTGGTCGTCCTTTGTTTCTTCTTTCAGGAGGGATCCATTCCAGTACTCTTCTAGGCCATCTGTACTGTATACTCTGGCCTTCTGTTAACATGTCCGAACTAGATTAATTACTTTCTTTCTATGTCATCATTGATATTTCGCTCCATTTTCATTTCGTTTCTTATTTGTTCGTTTCTAACTCTCTCCAATTTCGATCTACCACAGCTTCATCTCAGATAATCCATTTCTGTCGTCATAAGTTTGTTTCTATTAGCTTTGGTGACGTCCCATGCTTCCGAACTATAAAGTAATACTTTGGACTATACTACCGTAAATGTGTTTTTTGGTTTCTCGTCGAATTGTTTTTTGCCAGAGAAGAGAGTTTATTCTGCCCTACCCTTGTTTATTCTTTCTCTAATTTCATCTGCCTATTTCCATTCTTGTTGAAAATGACCCCCAAATATTTACAGGATTGTATGCCTTTGATTTTGTCGTCTTCCAATACTAAGTCACATATTTCATCTGTTCCCACTGAGAGATATTCACATTTTGTCATATTCATGTTTAGACCTGCCACCTCATATTCTTCTTGCAGTTTTCTTACCATATAGCTAAGATCGTAGCTGTCTTCGGCAATTACTACCTAGTCATCCGCAAAGAAAAGTGTATATAGCGTGTTTTCTTCCACCGTTATTCCCATGTTTCTACATTTTTTTACCCATTTCACTAAGGATTTGTCCAAATAGATTTTAAATAAGATGCGTGACAGACAGCAGCCTTGTCTTAGTCCCTTTGTTGTTTGAAAAGGAGAGGTGATTTCTTGTCCCATTTTAATTCTTGCAAAGTTTTGTTCGTAGTATTTTTGAGTAGTGTTAATAAAAATTGGGTTTATTTTCAAGTTACCCATTTCTATCCATACTTGGAAGATCGATACACTGTCATATGCTTTTTCCAAATCTATTAAAGATATATGGGTTTCTTTATTTCTCTGCATTCGTTTTTCCGTTGCAATTTTTAATGTGAAAATATTATATAGTGGAGCGTCCGGCCCTAAATGCTGCTTGTTTTTCGGGTTGTTTGTCTTTAATATCATTTTCTATCAGGTTTCGTAGTACTTTTGAGTATAGTCTGCCTATAGTAGCAACCACTACGATCCCTCTATAGTTTTTAGGATCCGTCTTTGTGCCTTTATTGTGTATTGGAGAAATATACGATTGTCTCCATTCTTGTGTATTGTACAATTAACTCTGGATGTATTCCGCCTGGGCCTGGAGATTTTTTAAATTTCATTCCCTTAACTGCTTCTTTCACTTGTTCTATTGATATTTCTATTCTTCCTTCTACTTCCACTTATTCATTTGTTTGTTTAAACCTTTCTCTTCTCTCTGTTAATAAGTTCTCAAAATGCTCTACCCATGTGTTCTCTGATATTCTATTTATTATGACTTGGTTTTTTGTCGTTGTTCTTATCGTTTTTATCGTATTCCAGGCTTCAGAGCTCTTTGTCCCTCCTATATGGTTGTCTAGGTATTGGCATTTTTGTTCCCATGCACTATTTTTCTTTTTAACCACTTCTCGTTTGAATTATTTATTTAAGTTTTTATATTGTTGTTTTGGCTGTTCGTCTCCCTGTTGTAATAACTTTTGAAATACTTCCTTCTTTGTTTTTATCTTTTCTTCCAATTCTATATCATACCAATATGGTTTATCTACTCGCCGTATCTTTTTTATAGATAATTAATATAAATTCATTGTTAATTAAAATTATAGGTTAGAAGCGTGGTGATAGGCAATCCGAGACTTCCGACAGCTGTAACAGATCATTGGGGATGGAAAGATATACCTCAATCAGAGCAAGAGGCAACAATGGTGTCAGAATTACTACAAACACAAGCTCTGGTTGGTTCTACGGCTACTAAAGAACAGGTTCTCAGCCAGATTCAAGAGGCGGAATGCATTCATTTTGCTACTCACGTTTCGTGGAAGCTTTCGTCTTTAGTTCTAAGTCCTGGGGAGGTAAATTGCTACAACTATATGATTAAAACATTATTGTTTGCGTTTTTATTTTTCAACAGGTGTTGGACCAAACACAATCGAAGAGATTATATTTGTCTGACAGCAACATTGAAGAAGCTGAGCATAATGAGCTGTCGGTGTCCGCTGAATTGCCTCCAATTTCCGAGTTTCTTCTTAGTGCAGCTGATATCTTATCTCTAAAACTCTCCGCAAGACTTGTAGTGGTAAGTACACTTAAGATGTATGGGAACAAGGTGAAAAGTTCTTCGATTAGCACATACCGATATGGTTCATCCATAGTTTATAAATGACTTCACACCTTCTCCTTGTATCTATACTGTTTTTGTAAAATTTTTAGAAAAAAAATTAGAATATCTACAAATTATTTTAGATTAGTTCTTCTCATACAAGAGAACCGCAAGGTTGGGCAACATCAGATGGCTTAGTAGCTTTGGTGAGATCATTATTAGCAGCTGGAGCTCAGTCTGTGCTTGTTTCTTTGTGGCCGGTTCCTGATACAGCAACAAAAATACTTCTAAGAGCTTTCTATTCTGCTCTTCTTCAAGGTACCAGAGCCGCAAGGTAAATATATACCAAAATTTCGTTCATTTCTTATCGCTTTTAAATACTTAGTTCTTTTTTAAATATTAAATATTTTTTGTTTTGTATTTATTTTAGTATAGACTTTACAATAGTTCTTATTAATGTTTCTTTTGAAGAGCTTTAGCTGAAGCTATGCAAACGGTCCAACACACCAAACACTTCGCTCATCCAGCCAACTGGGCAGGTTTTGTCCTCATTGGATCCAATGTAAGGCTGTCGAGTAAAGTAGCTTTGATGGGTCAAGCTCTTTGTGAGCTGCTACAATATCCTGAAAAGTGTAGAGATGCATTACGAGTGACTCTTCATTTGGTAGAGAAGAGTTTACAAAGAATTCACAGAGGCCAGAAGAATGCGATGTACACCACGCAAAAATCAATAGAAAATAAGGTAAGATTTATGGACATCAATAGTGAGCTAAGTCAACAACTGTGTTAAAATAAAATCAAAATGATAGCTTTATACACAGTCAAGCACTCATTAAACAGTTTTGATTGAATGATACATTCAATTATGTCATTTATGAAGTCTGTAGGTTTATTTTGTATGAATTGTTAAACTACGCAAGAAGTTTCATATAACTACTTTAATTCTACAGTTGTAAGTCGGCTATGTCAAGGTGGCCTAGGCTCATAGATAGTCTAGTTTTTTAAGTACCGTTTCATTTAAGCATGCTGATAATCATTATGACTACTTTTGACACTGCAGTCCTGAATAGCAGCCCTAAGGAACTGCATTTTTACACACGAAGTCATCACGCGATCCAGATATTGTAACTTCACGATAAAAATTAGGTCACGATATAAATTACTAAAATGCTACGTATTCTCCAGTCTTTTGTAGAGTGGAGTCATAGACATTAACTGAAGCATCACTGAAGAGACTAGAAGTATTTGAAATGTGGTGCTACCCAAACAACACACGAAATGCAACTCAATTGGAAGAAGCAGAAAATGAGAGGAATAGGACAACAACAAAATCGCCAACGATAGAAGAAGTTAAAAGGGCAATTTAACTGCATGTATCTCTCAATATAGCTTTGGATCCTTGAGAGAACTAATATTATGATCGTAGCATTTCATCTGCTATTGATAGGTTATATGTTTGATAGTTAGCTTACTTGTTTTTTTTTCACATTCAAATAATTTGGCACACGTTTAAAGGTTGGTTCAGTAGGCGGTTGGAAAGAGCTGCTGATGTCGGTTGGATTCAGATTTGAGCCTGCTTCCAACGGTATTCCTAGTAGTGTGTTCTTCCCACAGTCAGATCTCGACGAAAGACTCACACAGTGTTCAGCTAGTCTTCAAGCTCTTTTAGGTAAGTTAGAAAAATTGATTTTGCTGCATAGGATAGTTTTTTGTTATATAATTTTAGGTTTGACGAGTACTTCCATTCATGCTTTGTCCAAATTAACATCAAACGCTGACGTTGCCGACGATATTATTGCTGTAATACAAGCTGCTTTAAGCCAGTTCTCATCTAAAGGAGTTGAAAGTGATAGTATTGATGTAGCACTACACGTAAGGTAAGCATACTCTTTACGAGTATTTTCGTCAAATAAGTATCAGAAACAACTAAAATGTGTCAACTAGGCTCTCAGTTGTTTAGTGCATAGTATTGTAATGAATATATTTTGCCTACCACTGGGGTATTATTATGGGGGGTTGAAAATTGGGGATAGAAATTACTGGAGTTGGAGATAGGGCAAGCAAAATAAACGATACTTATGCGAACGGCACTCAGAGTTAATTTGAAGTAGCTGGGTCGTGGATAAGTGAATGGCAAGGCGGTTGGATAAGGACAACTACAAAAAATAAACAAAGGGGTTACTTACAAGGGGGTAAAGTCTCTTAGAACAAACAAAACAAAACACAGGAAGGACTTCTAGCAATTTAAAATGGACGCAGCTTCGAGGTCCGAAATTATAATGATTACAACAACTAGTTGTAACTATTAAAATAATTATTAAAAATGAAAAAAATATATCTTTTCAAATGAAACTCAAAAAAGGGTTAAAGAGCTTGTCAAGAGAACCAAACAAAATGGTTTAGAAAAGAAATTAAACGTTTATTGTGTCTCACCACAAACAGTTACAAAATGTAGAGGGCACAAAAAAATACTATATTAATAGTTAAAAAGATTTATTCCAAAATAATAAAAAAGAAAAACTTACATATATCCTATTCGTTTACAAACTCGTGAGAGATGCTACAAAACTTACAATTAATTGTTACTGCATGGAGGTTAACCTTCTTAAAAAAAAAAACAAAACAAAAATCTAAAATATGATTGGATAGTACAATATTAATTATTACAAATTCTTTTTGTTATGAAAGCAAATTATTATTATTAAAAACATGTCTATCTTTACTTTAAGATTTAATCGCAAAAAAAGTTACCTGATTTCACCAAAATGAACTTTTAGTTGTAAACCGGACCTCACTGGACCTTAGAATTTCTTGGAAAAAATGGACTGCAATAATGGTCTGGAATGACGACCATAAAAAAAGGTTGAAATGGCACTATGGCTTGGCTTCTTACAAAACTGGAATAGGTACAACCGGATACAATGACAACATTTCAGAACTCACTTTAACTGTAACTATTAATTGAACAATCACCTGCCACCAAACTACCTACTTATTTTCCATACCAAAGAAATAATAAGGAAAAACCATTACGAATTTAAAGTAAAATTCGGAGTGACACTGTAAACAACTGCTTTTGACACACACCTCAGCGAGAGTGATGTAATTTTTAAAAATCATTCGCTTCACAACTTAGTATAAACAAAACACTTACAACGGAAACGGAAATGCAGAATATCCTATTTCTTTGACGCACAAAAATCCCAAGGCGGCTTCGAATAAAAGAAATGCAGAGGAAGTACACATCTGTGAAATATAAACAAACTCTGAAGATGTGTTTATATCAACTTCGGGGACGTAAAAACAATGAAATACTATTTGAGTTTTAACTTGTACGAATAGGGAATAGGGAATGAAATACACTAAAAACATTCTTCGATGTTTTAAATATACACGAGGGAATTTCAATATATATCAAGGAATTTACAAATGCTACAGTATATCTAGAGTTCGTTTCCATCATACTGATAACAAATCTTAACAAAAGCACAGTTGATTTATGCATTGTTATGAATACTGTTATTGTAACAAATAGACATAATGCAATTAGCGGAGCGTATTTGAAGAATATCAAATATGAACCATTTACATTCATAGAAATATAATACAAATAGACTAACTGCTATAATACAGTCGCGTTCCCCCTGTTTGATATAGAAAACTGATGCAAAGCAGTCCATGCATCTTTTTCTAATGGGAGGGGTTTAGCGACCACGTGGCCTTCCCTTTGTTCATTTAGGTCACGTGGTCAAAAAATTTGGCATATTAAAAAGAGATGCATGGACTGCTTTGGAACGCTCACTTTGGATTTATTGTACGACCAATAATGACATATGCCTCAGAAACAAGACCCGGCACAGCCACAACACAAAGGCTACTGAAAACGGCAGAGATGAGAGTACTGAGAAGAATTACAGGAAATAGGAGAGATCAATAAAGAAGTGAAGACATTAAAAGAAAGTGTAACGTACAGTTGTATAAACGAATAAAAAAAAGAATGGAATAACCACATGAGCAGAATGGGGAAACCCCTGTTGTCAAAATAGCAAGAGATAGGTCACCAATGGATAGAAGAAGTATCGGACGACCGCGCAAAAGATTGAGTGACAACCTTCCATAGAGGTATTAATTTACCTATGAACAATCAGAATTGCTTATAAAGAGGAAGAAGAAAAGAAAGAAGAAGAATTCGCAATATTGTGCAGAATAATTGATCGTCTAGGGGAAGTAAGAGAAACAAATACAATATTAAATGCACACAATGATTTTATATCTATACCACATGATATGCTTTATCAAGTGATATCCTGCCGATTTATTTATTTTTTTTATATTGTCTTGTTACAAAATCCTATATAAAATTTTAACATACATAATTGTTCAACTTTTCCAATAAAAATCCTTAGTAAAATTTCAATTTGTCTTAAACAGCCGTACTTGAGTCACTTGGCTTATTGCATCTTCCATTCGTGTAAACTACTGGCTCAGGTACTTTAGTGTTAACGACTACTTAAGTAACCGAGATCGACAGATCTACCTGCCTTCCAAAGTACGGTAAAGGCTAAATTAAATTAGAAATTGAAAAAATTCTGGGGTATGGGAGGTATTCTCTCAGTATTCAACCGCTGAGATATACTCTCTGTATTCTCTCTTTTCGTCAACCATTTTCCATCCAGTCCTGAATCTAGATCTCTCACAATTGCTTCCATCTGTCTCTATTTTACGCCAATCTAACCAATTGTTTACCTGCCACTGCTCTTATGCCATATTCTTCTTTTGATGCCATCTTAAATCCCCTTAACGTTAGCAATTACATTTTAGTTGTTCACGGTCTTCGAAATCTTCAGCTAATTAAAAAAATAGTATTCCTGTCCAATCGCGAGCGCTCTTGAGCCATGACATCTGCTTCCTTCCAATTTCTCTGCGGTCCTAATATCATCTACCCATCTCTTTTAAGACCTTCTCATGGTTCTTGCCATCCCCATTGGTCTTTATTCTAGGATTTTCCATGTCCCCTGTTATTATATCTGGCTATTTGATCGGCCCAGTGTAATTTCATTTTTGTAATTTCTTTTACTACGATATCCCTGATCTTCGATGTACGTCTTATCTCCGTGTTTCTAATCTTATTTGACAGTGTGTTTCGAAAGTTGTTTTGTTCCATTGCTCTTTGCGTTGTTTTAAATTTTTTAGCAAATTTCCTGGTAAGGGCTACGGTCTCCAACCCTTAGATACAAAGTGGTAGTAGGCATGTGTTATACACATTTTTCTTTAAAAGAAATACAGTTAAGATTTGATTTCACTTATAGTGCCTCTGTATATTCGCTTATACGTATTTAATTTTAAAGAAATCATCAGAGCGACTGGTACAGAAACGTGAAAACCAATAGTTTTTCGTGATAACAAAAAGAAGCAACAATATGTTGCTTCTTTAGATGGAAACAATTTGTTTTCACGTTTAGAGCTTCTGTAATAGGCGCTCTGATGATTCCTGCCAGGATCAAATTCGTATAAGTGAATATATCAATAAAATCTTAACTGTTTTATTTCGGTTTATTCTTTATGAGTACAAGAAACCAACTCGCCAAGGATTTTTGCGTAGATGAGGATATATTTTATGGAATGCAACTTTTAGATTCTCCATATCTCTCTCATCTTTAGCATCGTCTGTTTTGTCTTGCAATTTATAGAAGGCACAGATTAAAGCCAAAATCTGAATTTTGGTTTCGTCAATAGAAATCTTTGCATTTCTACTTTCGAGATTTATTTTTCTTTAAGTTTATAGGAATGGAAATGTTTTTCAATATAGATTCTAGTTTACCAAAAGCTACCATATTATATATTGGAAACTATATATTTTTTATTGTTCCTATTATTTTGTAGGTTATGGAGAGTTCCAGGTTGTCACGAATTATTCGCTTCTCTAGGCTTCGATTTAATAGATGTTGGTCAAGATAAAGTCACTTTAAGAACAGGAAAACAGGCGAATAGACGAAATATACAGTTTACTATGCAAGCACTTCTAGCTCTATTTGGTAAGTCATTTAGAATTATGTATTTTTAATTAATTTAAAAAAATGACGTAAAACTACCCACGCCTTTGATTTTGTGGCATATTCAGTATACTAAAAAAATTTTATTTGAAGGTGATTACTTGGCAACATCACACTTAATGAAGCCCTTAACGATAACTTTTCAACGAAATCATATTCCACTTATCAATTTTGCAGAGGCGTACAAAAAAATTAATTGCTTATTTAAACACATAAGTAATTAATTAAATCCAAGACCGGTATAATTTTATTATTAAATTATCGTGTGTCTGTTAACAGGAGGTATCTTATTCGCTCCGTGCGTAACCATGGTAGGGGTACCTTGAAAGGATACCAGCGTTTGTAGCGGCGAAATATGACAAAATTAGACCTATATTTTACGCATAAATTTTATCAAAAATGGGTGCAAATACATGTTGCGTATTTAATTGTGTAAATAATAGCAAAAATAGTAAGTGTAGTTTTTATAGGTTTTCAAAGATTACATATAAATTAGAGAAAAGAAAAAGATGGATTTTAAATAGGAAAAAATTATATAAATTACCTTAAATTATATTTCATAACGCTTATAAAATAAGCTACACTATTATTATCTAAATGCGCGTATATATTAGTGCATTTGTTTATTTCAGTAAATTCTCGAAATATGAAATAAAGTTGGCACTAACTACTAAAGAGTTAATAGCTTTGTTAGAAGAAGACTCAGCTTGTGAAAATGCTGATTCACTTAATGTGGTTTATTTGCCGCCGAGATTAAAATAGAAAGTTTCTGATGTAGAAGACATTGATAATAATATTATTTGTGAAGAATTAATAAAATCGGATATTGCAGGTACCTACATATGAAATACAAGTGATTGGGAATTCTAACGATTCTGATTATGATATTTCTCTGAACCACAGATAAAACGTCCAAAGAAAAAACCAGGCAAAGATAGTAAATCCAAATTTGTCTCAAGTTGTAACAACAGATACTTCTTCGTGCTGCTTCGTGCTCATTAGTAATTCAACATCAGTCTGATTGACATTTAGACAATATAAAAGCCAACCATGGAGGAAGGTCATATATTGAAGTTTTTTCACTCTCTTTTGATAAAAATGTAATTGAGAGCATTCTATATTTTACAAATATTTTGAAATGCATAACATAGATTTAAAAAAAAGTATTAGCATATGTATATTATCTGGTTCACACTCTGCTTCAAGTTGATATGCAGTGGTCAAAGGATGATGATAAAGAAATGCACATTATAAGAGAAAGTATGAGCCGACATAGATTTATATTTATAATATATAATAGTGAAGAAACCGCTACATCAGTGCCAAACTTAGTACATGGACGTCAATCTAACTTTGCTTTACCAGATGAAACCAGATTGGACAATATTGGCAACATTACAAAAAGAGACAATAGTACAAGAATGTAGGATGGGCAAAAGTAATAATATTTACAAAATCCGTAAAATAGTTTCGAAACACAATTCAGATTTCTGCTTATAATCTGAGCCTTCTAAAAATTGCAAGGCAAACAGACGTTGATAAAAGATGTTAAAAGGGACATGGGGAATCTAAAATTTTGCATTCCACGACATGTCTTTTACAACTAAGCAGAAATCCTTAGCGAATTGTGCTTCTAGTACTCACACAGAGTATATCCGAAATAAAATGAAAAAGACAGCAAATATTCGATGTCACGCAAACAATCCCTATGTATCTATTGATATGTATTTCGACCTAATAGGTCTCATCAGAACAGCTATTCATAGGAGTTCTTAACGTGAAAAATCAATATTCTTCCTCAACTCATAGTGTCAGTCGACACTAGGAGTTGGCAGATTGGGATGTGTGTGTATATATAAATCCACGTGCGCAACATTCACTATACGGTAGTCAAGTCAACTGTCAACATTATTAATATTATAAATAATAAATTTCTGCAGATGCGCAGATTGTAAAAGTACGTTATAATGTTTCAGATACACAAGAAGCTCCAAAAAGCCTGACAATAGATTCGTCTAGTAGTCTTGAGTCGCTGGCATCAATAGATAACGATTTTTCCCATTCAGATAATGAGTTGGACGTTTGTACTTCATCTACTCCAGCTGTCAAATCGTTGCCTCGAGTACCACCACCATTTGCTCGAACAGTTCTTCCAAGGTAAGTTAATGTTTTTCATATTGTTGTTATACCGCCATATTTTATTGAAAGCTTGATTGTAAACAAACGAATATTTAGTAAAAATACCATTACAGTTTTTTCCCTTAATTGCTTTTTTATTGCATTTTTTTTCGTTAGCAGACGATTGGGAGGCGCATTTACTTCTTACGTGAGACGAAGAGGTGAACCGGATGGAAGAACAGCAAATCCCGGGGATGGAAAGTCAACATTAGATGGTAAAGTTCGTAAAAATATGGCTCTCGCTCGGCCTGGTGGTGGGGAATCGGATGCTGCATTTACACCCAGTCCACCAGTAGTTTTGCAGGTAAAGTATATTGTGTATATAAATGTATATAATCATTTAATCTAAGTGCCACTTTTGATATAACACTGGTATAAGAAATCTTAGAGGAAATTACCGGATATACACATAAGTTTGCGGATATACACATATTATTTGGTTGCTGAACAGAAACTGCAGAAAACAGAAAGTTCATTAAAAATAAGGTATTAAGATACAGCTAACATATTATAGAAAATATCCAACCGATATATGTATAGATATTTTGTTATCAGGAATGCCACGAAAAAAAGTATATAAGAATATAAAATAGTAGTCTACTAGCTACTGACATGTCCAGACCAAATAAAAAGACTGAAATTAAGCTTCAATTGGGTAAACGGAGAGCAAAAAGTCTTCATAGAGAAGTGAAAAGACTTTTGAACATCATGTACTCAAATTTACATGTTCTAATATGTATTTATATATATGAAAAACATTTTTGTTAATATTCTACCGAATTAGGTAAATATTCAATATGTTTCAGTCGGAGAGTCAAAACATGGCCTTAACTTTGGCCCACCAATCCAGGATACGTCATCTCTATTCCCAGAACGAAGGTAAAAACGATAATCTCCGACCTGATAGCTCCAGCTCAGCTAGTTCAGCTACAGACTGGGATAATGGACAAGCTACAATTCTGAGAAGGCAAACACAAAACCAGGTAATATTCGACACACATTTTTCGTTGATACAAGTGAAATAAGAAACAACAGTTATACTAGGTTAAGCCGTTTGGCATTTGCAACTGGGCGTTGCGAATTTAGGGGTTGCGATTTAGGGGATGAGCCCAGAAAGACATAGTCTATCTACTTGTTGCATGTAATAGCTTCAATCAACATTTTTACTAACAGCAAGAATGGAATTTCATCACATATGCACAATATGTGACCCATATAACAACTCTGACCAGTGAAATATTGCATGCATCTATATCTTTTTTGCGTTAAGTATGTATTAAGTATGTAAGTAATGTATTTTTTAAAGGTCCCACCCATACCACCTCCACGAATACAACCGTTAACAGAGCTTCCTATGTACAACAATCTTCCGATTGGGATGCTGGAAAACAGCTCAGACAGCGAGTTAGAAAAAATGGAAGCTAAATTCTTTACTACGACTCTAAAAAATAAAATTTCTTACAAGAAACCAAGAAATCTACCCAGCGCTTTTGATAGGTTAAGTGTGAGGTCAGAAGTGACGCCTGCGCAGGTGGTACATCCGCCTCAGAATCCCAATAGGAAGCCCATTACTCTGCCAAGTGAGGAAACTCTTCCTGCTAATGAAAGACTGCTGTATTTTTCGCCCACTGAGACGGAAACTGAAACTACTACCGCAGCTCTGATTCCACAGGGCGACAAAGACGAGACTGACCAGGATGTAAATAAAAACGAGGGAAAGTCTGGAAGTTCTTCTTTAAGTAAGTTAACTCATTGTTAATCCTAAAATAAAGCATATATTGTAAATTTATAAGGTTTCTTAAATTGCCATCTTTCTCTATTTCTTTTTTGGTACATTAGGAGGACAAGAAATTGATGGTTATTGAAAAAACTTCACAATGCAAAATATTTAGAAAGAATATTTAGAACCTAATCATATTTCTTCACAACTAGTCGATCGTATCAGATGTTTAAATTTAATAATATTTTCATTAATATAAAATATTTACAACCTAGAGCAATCTCAGTCTTACCTGAAAGCTTTCAGAACCCTCTGAATTATTTCAGAATAGTTTCGAAATATTTCTGGCAGCCCTTGGTTATCCATAAGCCTCTGAAATTTTCCAAGTTATGAAATATTACAGAAAAAAGTGAAACGGAGTCTCTTGTTTTTAAGAGGGTTTTGGAATCTGAAATGTCTCGTAAATCTACTGCAGTCTTTGTGTAAAATATACTGCACACTTTTTTCAGTTATACGCATTTATCTCTTATAAATTTGATCGTCATAGTTACCACTGTCCTTTAATTATAGAAAACAATCAACATAACCACACAACCCGTTTTTCTCCGAAATAGAAAATACATAAAGCCAATGGAGATGTGTAACATTGGTAAAAACACATCTCCTGGCCTAGGTGGCATCCACAGAAGATGCTTCAAAAATCTTTCATAGAATATAATCCCGTTACTCACCAACATAATCAGTGCATGTCTTACGCTGAGCTACTTTCCAATCTCATGGAAGGTGGCGAGCACAGTCATGATTCCCAAACAAGGGAAACTCCTAACCGACCCTGAATCGTACAAACCCATTTCGCTTCTGAGCACACTAGGTAAAGTCTACGAGAGGATCCTTAAGGAGAAACTCGTAGAATTTCTCGACGCTCACTTCATTCCAAATTACCAATTCGGATTCAGGGCTGGACATTCCACATAAAATGCATTGCTTGAAGCAAAACCTTAATTTCACAATCAATTAACGAAATACAACACGTCATAGGCATATTTCTAGAGGTCCAGAATGCATTCGACCAGGTCTGGCACACAGGCCTGGTGGAAAAACTCCACCTTACTGGACTGCCACATCTATCGTTGAACTAATAAATTCCTATCTCTCTAATCGGACGATTCGGATCAAAGTTGGCAACACTTTATCCTCACCATTCACTCCACAAGCTGGAGTACCCCAGAGGTCAATTCTTTCAATACTATACACAGTCTACAAGAGTGTCATCCTCCGTATAGATCGGAAACCCTACTTCTGTATGCTGACGACACTGCGGTCCTGACGTCAAGGCTACATAGAATGAGTGGATAAATGTCTGTATTCGAAAGAGCTCAAAACTACCTAGACCTAGTTATTAGGTGGTGCAATAAATGGAAAGTGACTATAAACTGGTCCAAAACCCAACTCTTACTATTTGAATCTCCCCACCGCAGTGATGTTCATGGTCGGATAACCTTGCTAGGAAAGGACCTTATTCTCAGAAACTCGGTTTCCTATTTGGGAGTTCATTTTAGCAGGACTCTCAACTGGAAAACTGACATACAACACACCCTAGACAGGGTAAGAAAGAGGACTAAATTCCTGGCAGCGCTGTCGGGTAAAATGGGCAAGACGTCAACTAAAACACTATTGCACACTTATAAAACCTTCATAAGACCGATAATCGAATACAAGGATACGTCTACGCATCACGTAATACCCGCAAAATTAGCACCATCATAGCATGAAATTATAAAAACATCCAGAAGAAAAAGATGGAGTACTTCGGATGTAATGAGAGACACAGTGTTTTTTGCAACAAAATCTCATGTATGGGCAGACTTAGAGTCAGATTTTTTGGACAGTTTTCTTATCTCCTTACTTAATTTAATCTTGAGTTAAATAATATTTAAATTATAGTATCTTTATTATTTTTATGTCTTGAATATTTTAGCAATCCATGACACCATTTTGGCTACTCAATTGAGGCATATCAACAGAGAATTGACACCCACAATCTCTGAAGTCTACCACGAGAGAAATATAGGCTTAGGCTTGGCTCCGCCGTTGTCAAAACTGTTACTAAATCAACCGTCACAGGCTACCTTTAAGGCAGAAACAGCTGCCTTGGAGAAAATTAATTTAGGTGAGTAACTATTAAATGTTTATCTTTAGTAGATTTACAAAATTTTATAAGGAGCATTAAATAAATCGTCATTAAGACTAAAATAAAAGAAAATTTAGAGCAAAAAATTAAAGTCAACAAAAAAGAATAAATATTTTGAATATGCCGACTATTGTAAATCAGTTACATATCATGTCAAGATTTTTTATTTTTTATTTATGGCATGATCCCCGAGACACAGTTACTTGTCAATCAAAATAGGCGTAGAATTCACTTAGGAAAGAAGAATTGTAAGTTAGAGTAAGACGTAGGCAATAAAAAATATTTGAAATGTCTTTATCATCACCATTCTAGCTTTACAAACATGCGTGGGTTCTAGCCTCCTCAAGAATTTTTCTCCAGACGTCCCTATCCATCGGGTTCCTCTGCCAAGCATGTATATTGATATTTCCCATGCCTTCATCGATATTATCAGTTATTCATCTTCTTCTATGACCACTATGTCTATCAAGGGGGGTTTTTTAGCTGGGTCATTTTGTTCCATCCGCATTACATGCCCTATCCACCTCAGACGTCCTATCTTAATATGTTCCTGGTATATTCTATATATGGAACGATATCTGGTTCCTGGTATATTCTATAAAGTTCAAAATTGTATCGTTTAACATCAACTAACATGTTTTCATTACTTTTTGTTAGAGTCCAGATCTCTGAATCATGTCTTGGGATCGAGTCCAAAATAGCACCTGTTGACCGTTAGCGTTGATTTGGTATTTCTAGCTCTTTCATTGTTTTGAAAATTTTACTTCTATTACAGAGTCGTAGGCTGCTTTATAATCTATAAATATTTGATGAGTATCTATGCCATATTCCAGTGTTTTTTCTAAAATTTGTTTCAGGGTTGCAATCTGATGAGTTGTTGATTTACCACAACTCTGAAACCAGCATGGTATATTCCTATTATCCGTTCTGCATACGGTGACATAGTACTGTGGAAAATATTTTATATGCTGCATTTAGAAGCGTAATTCCTCTATGGTTAGAGCATTCAAAGATATCTCCTTTTTGTGTATGATGCAAAGTATTCCAATATTCTAATCTTTGGGGTGGGATTGATGTGTCCATATTCCTTTTATAGGCTGCTGTAATGCCATTATGGTATCGCGGCCACCTTCTTTATATAGTTCAGCTGAGAAATTTTTTATTTCGGATGATTTGTTTCTGGCTAGTTTATTAACTGCATTTTTAATTTCAAGAATCGTTGGTGGTTCCTCTTCCCTCTCGTCTCTTCCTCTTACCTCATCTCTTCTGTCTTCCAGTATATTAAGTGCCTGGTTAAAGTATTCCATTGATCTATTCAATACATCTTTCCTTGTTGTTAATCGGTTGCCAATCTGACTTCTGCATTGTCTTGTGGTTGCCTTGACTTCTTTTCTGTTGATTTTAACTTTCTTATAAAATGCTCTGAATTCTTTCTCTCTGTTGAGGTTTTCTATATATTTAAGTTCCTTATTTAAGTGGTTTCACTTTTTTCTTTTGTGTATCCACTTTTTTTCTTCTCTTTGTTTGGTAGTTCTCTACAGTTGCTCTAGTTTGTTCGGGTAAGCATTTTTCTGTAGGCCCCATTTTTTGCTTTTTTTACATTCCTGCATTCATTAAAGCAATGATCTTTAAGGGCACAAGATTCTGTTCATATTTCATCTTTCACTGCTGGTTCAATATCTTCCTTTATTCTGGTCCAGTAGGAGTCTATATCTGTCTGACCTTCTTCATTTACATTTTGATTCCTTAGCCTGTTGGTGATGTTTTCCGAGTACCATTCTGCAATTGTTGCATCTTTCAGCTTTTGCACATTAGATTTTTTTCAACACTTTTAATTACTACAATCATAGCATCAATGCTTTTTTGCACAGCAATTCGGGCTTCGTCCTGGATTGAATTAAACAACAATTAAAAATGGAAAAAGTCTTGTGGACATATTAGGACATATATAAAAAACGTGCTTTCTCAATCAACCACTGTCTTTGTGTTATTTTTTATAAATATTCCTTATATTTATGTTTTACAGCTATAGTAGACGACGAGGAAGACCCCAACAACGAATTAAAATCAGTGGTTTGTCAGAGATGTAAGTCAGAAAAATGTCACTGTAAGTTATCGAAGTCTCATAAACCGTGGCTCTCGGAAAATGCTAGTGCTCTCCAACAAATCCGGAGTTCGGATCTAACAACCGCTGATATCTTAGAGAGGGAAGTCAAGAATAAGAAAAGCATGTTAAGGTAAACTTAAATCGGAATATTAAAAGGATAGATATTACGTTACATTTTTACGGAAATGTGTATACTCGTAAAAAGCAGAAAAGACTATCTTGATCCACTTTTTTTTTTATCTTTTAACATTTGATATATACTTGGTTAATTTTCAACTACTATTAGACGTTGTCGAATCTAATGTCAACGGTACTAGAGACATTCTGTTGCCGAAAATAATTCTAGATATTTAATATAATACTCTTTTCATTACGTCATAAACGGTTCATCTTTAATTTTTTAACTGGTCTATATTAAAAAGTTGATTCCATATTCGATAAAATATCTCACTATCTCTCTCACTGTCAAATCTCTTTATTCGCTAAAAATTGCGAATTATACTTATCACATAGTCCATTATTCTGACAATAGCAGGTAGAACACGTTTTAGAGAATACGCGTGATGAGCACAATTGTTTATCTAAATACACGACCAAATGGGAGCTAAAGATAAAATATTGCGATTGTAGGGCAAGCACAGGCACAATAATGTGTATACCAAATTAGTTTCTTTTCTGAGTTACTCTATATTACTTTTAAAATATAGTATGTATAGTAGGCCGCGCAGACATTTTTTTTATTTTTCTACCAGGGTAGTCCTAACTAGTATTTATATAATCCTATACCATATTTTGGCATGTTTAAAAAATAATTAACCGGCCCTGGCCCTTAAAGAATTTTTTTTCTTAAAAAAAATGTTTGGGGCTGGTAAAAAACTGTTAGTAAACTGAAATTATAATAAGAAACCAAATAGATTACATAATAATAAATCAAAGATTCTGAAATGCCATAAAATCGGCTAAAGCATACCCAGGAGCAGATATAACAAGTGACCACAATCTAGCTCTAGCAAACATGAAACTCAAGATTAAAATGTTAAAAACAACTGCCAAAACACCAAGAATCAATCTGAGAAAACTAAAAGAAACTGATATACATATACCAAAAAAATCAAAGAACAAAAGCACAAAGAAGTTCAGGAAGTAGAAAGGCAAAAGCAATTAACAGCAACAGATAAATGGAGGAAATTAGAGAAGATCTTGAGAAATATCACAAAACAAAAACTTCAAGAAGACACGTCATCTAAAAATAAACAATGGATAACACAGGATATAAAAGAACTGATGACGGCAAGAAGGGTACACAAGAATAAAAACGAACAACAGTACAAAAAAATTAATAAAATAATCAAACAGAAAATCAAAGAAGCTAAGGAACTGTGGCTATCAGAAAAGTGTGAAGAAATAGAAAGGTTAGATAAACAACATATCAGTTTTTACATACACCGGAAAATCAAAGAGACAGCTGGTATATACAAGAAGAAGGGTATCAGAAATATCATGGATACAAATAGCAAGATATAAACGGAATGTACAGATAAAATAAACAGATGGGAAGATTACATAAAAGAGCTATTCGAAGACGACGAGAAAATTGAGGTCATTGAACCAAGAGGAAGAAATGGGGCACCAATCACCAAAGACGAAATTAAGAAAGCGCTAAAAGGTATAAAAAAATGAGAAGGCCATGGGACCAGATAAAATACGTACAGAAATCGACAACAAAAAAACTCGGAAAGGAGTTAAGGAAAACATACGGCAACTCTAGCATCAGAACAAAAACTTAAACAAGTCAGTTGAAGGTCTATACTTTGATGGAAGAAAAGATCAAAACATGGTTTTCGAATACGCGAGGCTAATCATGAAACTAAAGAGCGTAAAGCTTTATTTGAAGAACCTGGTAGTTTATATTTTGGGCACTTAACCTTTAGCCAGTCTCGTTCCATAGAGATTGCCGAAGGAATATTAGACTTACTTACAAAGCTATATTATAGATCTAAGCAAATTACGTGTTATGAAATGTGACGGTACAAATACGGACTGGAACGGTGGACTCATTCGAATTATAGAAACGTGAGCAAATAAGTCATTGCAGTGCAGTGTATGCCTGCTGCCTTTCTGGGCCGATTAGACCTTTCTTCCCAACTGCGAAAAAATGCCCTTTATTAAATTTAAGCACATAGTACCTGCCCTCCCTCTTGCAAATGAAAATGGTCTAATACAAATCAACAGTATTTGTACGAACTATCTAAAGCAATTGGAGATGAAATATGTGTGTTCTCAAAGTTTGACAGAGAGAAGTTAACACTTTCGATGCGCATGTCTCCGATCGGAGTCAAAGTGGTCCTTTGCTAGGTGCGCATGACTCCGATCGGGGACAGTAACCCATTTATTTTTAAGACGGTATAATTTACTTAGTACGACGCCGACGTTAGTTTATGTTTGTCAGGGTGTGAGTGAGGACTTGGACTTGGACACTGAGGACAGTGAAGTGTCAAACAATGTTTGCCAGTTATTTGCTATAGTCGTTTCGTGATTCAAAATGGCGGAAAGTATACCGGGCACTTCAAACTGTGAAAATATTTCTGCCTCCAGACATAGTATTTCAAAAATTCCTTTGGTTAATAAAGGACGAACAAAAAAAAGCGTTGTAAAGTATGCTCCAAAAACAAAATTAAAAAGCAGTAAGCAGACAAAATATCACTGCGAAAAATATTCTGATCAACCCGGATTTTGTGTTGAATGCTTTGAAATTGCTCATATGTGAATCAAATTCAAATTAATATTTGAATCTCTCTGTATTTTATAGAATAAACAAACTTATTTTTTCTAAAATTCCGTTATATAATTATTTTTGTAGAAAAACGTTCTAATTTGTCTTGTACCGATCGGGTACACATGTATGCCGGGTGCCGTGTGTGGCACACTCACGTTGGTTAACGACAGCTAACCGCATTCTTAGAGTTTATGTAACTACAACTGATCCTTGTGAAAACTTAAAAAATTAGCTGAGTTTGTAATAAAAGATATTCTCGGATGTAATATAAAATGAAAACACTGAAAATATTGAAATATGGTGCCGGGCATCTATGAAAATTAATCCAGGTCTCGAGAGATTTTCTGAAAAATGTGTCATCAATTATCAATAAAATTATTCGAGACAATGCTTATTTTGCGCATCCGGAAAACATTCTAATTTCTATGTTGACAGATTCACGCTAAAATATTAGAGAGTTTACTCTCAGAAGAATTTAAAAATTTAGGAAAGCTCACATAAAAAATCGCATTTTCAAAGTATCACAAATCAAGTTCGATGAAGAAAATTACTTAAATCTCACAGACGGGATAAATAGTACTATAACACAGCCTTCTCTAACACAGTATATGACGACGAGGAATTGTGGGATATGGTGAAATAAGTTCTAAATTTTAACAGTTTTCCTTGACATACTCAAACGGTGGAGAGATGTGTTGAGATAATTACTGAGGCATTAATAAAAGTGTGTGGTGAAGAATCTAGAGATGGTTACATACGAACTAAACTTGATGCCAAAAAGAATTTGCCGATATTTAAAGTAAATGTCAATACTATGCTTTAAGAAGTGAGTAAGTAAAAATGTTGAGCAAAGGAGGGTGGGTGGGTGGAAGTCGCTACCTCTTTGTGGCGAGTTCTGGATTGAATGAATATACCGAATAATCTTAAATATTTACATAGTACGTCAATGCAAATAACCTTTCGTGCTGAATATTGATTCAAGCAAAGAGCTGCACAGTTTACAGCACATAAATAGTAAATATGTATTTTTACCCCTCTTGTACACTATTCTTGGGGAACGGTTAAATTTTTTTCGACCATGATGAAACTTTTTTCACGAGCCCACCTCAAAATAAAGCAAAAAAAGCCTCAGGGGCCTAGTCAAAAATAATTTATTTTGGCCTATGTTTGGCAAACAGTATTAGGATGACCGTATATAACTTTTTTTTACTAGCCCGTTTAAGTTTTTCCAAAAATTTTTTTTGTCTTTGTTCGGCCCGGCCTAATGCATACAATAAACAAATTTATATTTTTATTATCATTACTCAAATTTTATTGTTTTAGAACAGATTTTGATTAATTTTTTGTTTAGGTGCGAAATCAAAGCAAAGGACGACGTAGAACCAAAGCGCCTATCCCCTTTTTCGGAAATGTCACGTAGAGACGAAGGTGATGGTCGTAGCATCGCGGATTCCAATTGTTCTAGTTATAAAAATCAGTTTTTAACATACCAATCCGCTGACAAGAAAGCCCCCAAACCAGCGACGAAGCTAAGGACGATTTCTTTACACAGAAGAAATTTGCCAAGTTGACGTTTGATCGAAGAGACTGAAGATTTATTGCTGTAGCATCAGAATAGTGTAATATTTAATACAGTGTGTACAAAAAGTAAAGTAATTCATATTTTGATATCTAAAAGTCTATATAAAATATTTTAAAACAGTTTGAATATATTAAAATCGCTGTATAAATGAATGAGAATATTAAAGCGATAGTGAATGTGGATATTTATGATTAGTTTTTACCGATAACTTGATTTATTCTAAAAATTTATCAAAAAACCGATGATTAGAATATTCACGAGTTGAATAATTTTTTGTGCACACTATATTTGTGTTTTGTATATATTTATTTTTATACATATTTAACGGGATATTTAGAAATATTTTATATTCTGTACAACGAAGAGAGCTTTAATAAATTCAGCCATTTTATATTTAATTTTTTTTTTATTTTTAATAACCTAAAAGAAGAAAAATACATTGTATATATGGTTGATGTGACTGCTATTATGCTGTCTTTTATATGTTATTAGTATATTTAGAATTATACTAAAAAAATGTAAAATATATTGTTTATTATTTGACGTTTGACGTCGAAGTCATAAACTCTTTTCAAAGTACTGTATTCTGAAAACGTCTTTTGACCTGTAGACGAAAACTTCAAATCAATATACTTATTAAAATTAATTAAGAGCACAAATAAAGAGCTTGAGAGCAATATTTCAGCTAATCTTCTGGCAATTGTTCAATATTATTCATCTCTCCTATTACCACGTCAGATCTTGCATATGGAGGTTCTTCAGGAGACGTTTCGTATCCTAAAAAGGTAGTATCAGATGCCAAAGTGGCTCTGACTCTTTTACTTGATTTTCTTGTCAGATCTGCTAAAAATTGTCTTCTTTTTTTACCACCTAAAAGTAAAAATATTTTAATGTAGAAAATTTTGCACACATCATCATCATCAATGGTGCTACAGCCCTATGAAAGAGCCTCGACCTTCCCAAGTCTATTACGCCAGGCAGTCCTATCCATTGCCAACCGTTGCCAGTTTGCTGCGCCTATCTTTCTACCATCCTCATCTACACCATCCTTTCATCTGAGTTTTGGCCTACCCCTTTTTCTGCTTCCCACGGGTTGTGACATAAGGATTCTTCTAGGAGGGTTGTTCTGCTGGGATCTTGCTAGATGTCCTGCCCATCTTAATCTTCCTATTCTTATAAGAGATACTACGTCTTTACCACCAAATATTTGTTTATATCTGTGATATACCTCGTAGTTGTATCTCCTCCTCCAAACACCATTTTTACAGATGCCACCAAATATTCCTCTCAGGATCCTTCGTTCAAATATAAGCAAAAGGTCTTCGTCTGCTTGGAGATGGTCCATGTCTCCGATCCATATGTCAACACTGGCTGTATAAGGGTTTTATATATAGTTATTTTTGTTTTTTGGCTTAAGTTTCTACTTCTCATATGTCTACTCAGTCCAAAGTAGCATCTGTTTGCCATTACTATCCTTCGCTTCATTTCTTCCGTTATGGCGTTGTCTTTGGTGATCAGGGAGCCTAAGTATGTGAATTTGTCAACCACTTCAAAGGTAGAGTTATCAACCGTGAATTGGGGACCGATGTTCCTGGCTCTATTGTTGGGTGTTGATGCCATCATCTTAGTTTTCTCCTCATTTACTAGCAGGTCCATAGATTTTGAGGCATTTGAGAAGGTGGTATACATTTCTTCTAGCTTGCCAAGGAGACGCCAGCGCGTCTCCCTGTCGCAGCCCAACATGCGTTCCAAACGCCTGTGATTGTTAGCCCTGTATTTCGACTTTGCAAACCACATTACGCATTGTAGCCTTAACCAATGTTATCATTTTATCGGGGATGTGGAATTCATTCATTGCTTCATACAATTTATTTCTTAGGACACTAATCATAGGCAGATTTGCAGTCTACAAAAAGATGGTATGTATCGATATTGAATTCATTGGTTTTTCCAGTATTTGCCTTAGCACAAAGATCTGATCTGTTGTTGATCGACCAGGGCTAAAGCCACTTTGATATTCCCCGAAAAGTTCCTCTGAATATGTACTTAGGCGACCATATATGATCCTCGAAAATATTTTGTATGCTGTATTAAGGAGGGTTATTCCCCTATAGTTTCTACATTCCAATTGGTCACCCTTTTTGTGTAGCGGGCAAACGATTCCAATACACCACTCTTCCGGGATTTGTTCCTCATTCCAGGCTCTCAGTATTATTTTATATATTTGAGTAGTCACAGAAGCACCTCCACATTTAATAAGTTCCGCGGGTATACCGTCACTTCCTGGAGATCTATTGTTTTTTAGGTGTTTTATTGCATCTCGTACTTCTTGAATTGACGGAGGCTCTAATGGTGAATTGTTGCTTGCTCCTCCGTGTGGTTTATTTGGATCTGGATCTTCTACTTCTATAGTAAGTAGTTCTTTTAAAGTGTTCCACCCACCTTTTCAGTACTTCTTCTTTTGTCTTTAGTATATGCCCCTCCTTATCCTTACATAGTCTGAGCCTTGGTTTGAATTCCTTTCTTGCGTTATTCAGAGTTTTGTAGAATTTTCTTGTTTGGTTTTCCTTTTTTAATACCTCAAGTTCTTTCAATATTCTATTTTCGTGAGTTGCTGTTTTTCTCGGGTTCTTCTTTACTGCATCAGTTTATATGCACCATTACGTGGTGGTGGTCTTTCTGGCCCTAGAATATTATTTGCTGCCTCTTTAAATATTATTTTTACACATTTCCCATTGTTCATAATTGTTAGGTCCTCATGAATTATGTGTTTAGTTTCGATATAGTTTTGAAACCTTTCTACTGTTTGCGGATTTTTAAGAATTTCAATATTGAGACGCGTTGTTTTGCTACATCTCTCTTTCTTCGCATTTGAGATTCTAGCTCGAATTCGTGTGCCAACTAGAAAGTGATTTGAATCAATATTGGCGCCTCGATAGGTGCGGACATCCATTAGGTTTGAGAAGTGTCTAGCAACTATGATTACATGATCAATTTGGTTGCACACAGTTAAAGAAAAATTCTGAAAAAGTTTGTTAACAATAAATTGGTATTATATTCTACCCATTTTCAGTGATTTTTCAGTGAAAAAAATTTTTATTACTAAAAAAAATACTTACGGGCAATAACTTGTTTCCAGTAAAATCTGTAATCGTACGGATTATCATATACGAACTTTTCAGCATCAGAACCTAGTTCATTGAACTCATTATACTGATATTCTATATCTTCTATAGCGAGATCAAGGCTTGAATAGGGATCAGAGGGTGGTACAGGCTTTTCTTTAACTATATCAGGAAACAAAGAAGCTACCGTATCTTTAAAAATCATATCTCCTTCTTTCAATCTAAAAATATATACAGAGATGAAAATAAAAAGGCGGTGCAAGATGATAAAGAAACCAGGTTTATACCTCTGCTTCTGTTTTCTCTTCTTACGCTCATTTTCCTCTTCAAGTTTCTGTAGGGGTTTTCGTCTTTTCTCGAGTTCTTTCGTATCGAGTTGTTTTTTGCTTATTATTGTTGCCTTAATTCGTGCTTCTTCTTGAGCTTGACGTTGCGCCATTACCCATTCTACGTACTTTCCTATAAAGGTGAATATAATTATGGTAAAATAAGGTAGTGACGCCAAATAAAGCCAGTGTCTTAATAAGGCCACTTTTAAATTTTTCCTTAAATATAAATATTATATACTAGATGTAACTGTAAATCGCTTTCCCAGTTAAAATCGTCTACGCTATTCAGTCGGTAGTACCTGTAGTATCGTGAGAAACATATCGTGTAGACCTGGCTTAACACATATGACAGCTGTTGGTCACACTGGCTCCGGTACAGGGGGGACGCTATGTTTTCCGTGAATTATGGATAACCTTAGTTTTTTTTTAGATAGTAGTCAACGTTTGTTTAACTTGTTTTTATACTTATAGTAATAAAGCGCCTAACGGCAACTAAAAGCCGTCCTTTTATTTATTTACTGCTCCTCAGTCACAACATAAATTGGCGACGAGTAAAACTTGGTAAATTCCCAATCATTATTTAAGTATTTTAAGTCTGAACATGGTAGACCACGAGGAAATGGCCCCAACCCAAGGGACAGCGAATTTGACGATAGTAAATGTTGGGAATATTTCAGCCCTAGCAGGCTATAACCAGGGCGATGATTTCGAAGTGTTCGAAGAAAGATTGGAGCAGTATTTGTTGGCGAATTTAATTGAAGCTGACCGAAGGGTAGCAGTATTGTTGACACTACTAAGTGAAGATATTTATAAAATTTTGAAAAATTTATGTTCACCGGCTAAGCCAAAAGATAAGAGCTACGAGGAAATAATTAGATTGTTGGCTAGTCAATTTAAACCTAGAGTTTCTATATACCTATAGACGAAGAGTAAAGTTTGATTCATTGAAACAAGGTCAAGAGTCAATTAATGATTGGTTTATTACAGTAAAAAATGTGGCAGCAGAGTGCGACTTTGGAACGAATCTACTATACAGAGTCCAGGAAAAGTTTGTTGTAGGGATGAGACAAGGCCCAATTTTAGATCGGTTGTGTGAAGAAGACCCCAATAAGAAGGAGTTGAAAGAGCTGCTAGAAATTGCTGTGTCAAAAGAAGCTTCGATGAGGGAAGCTAGAGAGGTGGATATCAACTATGGTGAGAATAAGGCTAGTGCACGAAGGCACACTGAAGTGAAGCAAGGACACTTTAAGGCAAGTTCGGAAAATAACCGAAAAACAGATATTAAGGTAAATGCTAATCATGTATTATGTTTTCATTGTAATAAAGCCAATCACGATTTTAAAAATTGTAAATTTAAGAATTACATTTGTAAAAACTGTAAAAAGAAAGGGCATATTGTTAAGGCTTGTAAAACAATAATGGACAAAAATTTTAGTATCCAGGCAGACAAAGAGCCAGGGGTCCAGACATCGGATTTCTTTAATATTGATATTTTTAGTTTAGAAAATGACTTATTAGAACCAATCAAAATGCAGGTATTACTTAATAATGTACCCATAACGTTTGAGGTTGATACAGGAGCAGGACTGTCTTGTTTACCATATAACATTTATAAAGAAAAGTTTTCTCAGGTATATCTGGAACCAACTACCATTATGTTAAAAGTTTATCATGGCTCGGTGGTTACTTCAAAAGGGCAAATTAGATTACTTGTTAGGATAAACAGTAGGGAAAAAGAATGCATTTTTTTGATTGTTGAGGGGGCTACAAAATGTTTATTAGGCCGTGGTATTTGGTGTGATTTTGGTTTAAGTTTGAAGGGTCCAGATGTCTATTTAGACGACAGTAAAGTAAGTATGTTTAGCTCGATATTGAATACAGTTTGTCAAAAACCTACTACAGAAGATATTATAAGTTTGCAAATTTGTTTAAGAAAGAGTTA